TTAGGAAAAGGAATCCTACATGGGTTCTTGACTCTGGTGCAAATGAAAATATGACTGGTGAGTTAGCAGTGTTTTCTAATTATGTTACACCTATTCATCGATCTATTTTCCTTACTAATAGGTCCAAGTCTTATATACATCATAAGGGTAGTGTGTGCTTGTCTCCTAATAGTAATTTATCATCTATATTTCATATTCCCTGTTTTACCTTTAACCTCTTATCTATAATTCTTCTTGTGAAATCTCTTAACTGTGCAATAATTAATTTTCTTTCCTAACCATTGTGTGTTTTAGGACATGCATTTGAGAAAGATTTTTGACAGGGGATATTAGATACCATTTGTAAGATATTAAACCATGAATTATATTTGTGATGTCTACCATTTTCCTTTTGAGAAACTCTGTTTTGGATAACGTTAGATTTTTGAGTTATAAATTTTGTAATTGGCAAATTTCGGTGTCAAAACATATCTGATTAAGTTGTAATTTTTTATTTACCTTGAGTCTCAATGTCAGAAGCGGTACAACAAGTACGCGCATACTTCGATTTGAAGAGAACATCATTTAAAACAATTATGTGAGTATTTTTAAAGTTGGGTAGAAGATGAGAGGTTGGAAATAGCCTTCAGCAAAGTCCAACCAGTTGCACTTTCTTCTCTAACTAGTTGATCTTCTAGCGTTAGAACTTCTCTCTGGAAGAGTCTAGCTAGTTGCACTTTGAAGTCCAACTGAATACACTTCCATGAATGTGAGAAAAAAAATATATTTTGGTAACTTTTTAGTTTCCTATTTTTAACCAAACTTTTAGTGTTGTCCTTGCACGATTTTAAAACCTATTTTTATCTATTGTAAGGACTCTCTAAGTCTATATAAACTCTATTTCGCTCCTAATTTTTTAGGGCTTGAAGATTAAAACTTTTCTAATTGAGACAATTGTTTGAGAGTTCTTTTTTTTTTTTTTTTTAATAGAAAATCATGCACCTTGATTATTCTGTATATTTTTATATGCTTGAGAACACACACTATTATGCAAGAGTGATCTTAGAGTGATGTTCTCAATTTGATTGGAGTCTGAGCAATTTGAAGATTCATAATGATTTTGTTAAAAAAAAGCACGTGTTTCAATTTTCCCTTCATCAATTTAGATTTGAAGAAAATGAGGAAGCGATCAAGTTATGAAGGGGTCGAAGTATTTGCAGAGTGTTCGTGATCTACCAACAACCTTTCTACAAGGATTGGGGAGTAAGTCTAGAGTCTGCAAAAATCGGACGGGGAGTCACGAGAGTTATCCTAGAATGTTCAACAACTAGTTCTGTGAGTCAAAGTCTGTTAGACTTTGTTTTGAAGATAGTGGATCGTTTCATTCGAGATTGCAAATGTCTTTATCATTTTCATCCCGGTTGGTCGAATTTCTTCCAGTTAGAATTTTCACGCACAAAAATCCCAATTAGTTTTATTTCGATAAAACTAAAATAACTTAAAAATTATATAAATGAGCAAATGAAACATATTAACCCCCCTCTAAATTATTTTACATTAAATTTCCACATCTATTCTCGCAACTCACAAGATTCACTAGTTTGGTTGAGAGAGAGAGAGAGAGAGAGAGAGAGAGAGAGAGAGAGTTAATATCAGCATGGGCAGTGGGCTTGACCTTAGGAGCTATGCAGACGGAAAATGTAACCTTTTTGGTTAGGGAAGTCATATATCTGTCAGTGTGGAAAAGTGTGTCGACTTTTCTCCTTTAGTCGCAGTTTTGTTGGTATTAAATTTATTGAGGGACCCTCCTCTCAAATGTTAGGCTGATGCTTAGCCATGGAGGAGGGAGCACCATGGCTTAGATGGGAAGGATTATACTTGGTGGAGACTGGAGTGATCACCTTTAGATGTATTAGTCCTTCCACAACCTCTACCTTGTCAATGGCCATTAAAGCCATGGGAAATACTACCTTTGATGCGTATTCTCCCTCTTGCCTCTTCAAGTTGATGCCCTAAATTTCATTAGCCATCTATGCAAAACGTCTTGCCTTGACGCTTTCAACCATGGCTTTGCCATTTGGAGGTGGATTCCTTGCTCTTCCTCCTGAAATTATCTACTATATATGAGCTAGGCTCATTACTTGAAAATATATATATAAATAAATAAACCCTGATCAATCACCTTGTAATTCATAATACCACTTTCGGGTCATTCAATATGAAAATTCTCTTTCAACAATGGTAACAATGGCAATTCTAAATCTCAAACCATTGCATAGGACCCATAAACCATCTGCAGGATATATAATTGCATCCATCAAGTATAATTCGGACAAATCTAGCTAGCATAAGTGACTCAACCATTAACTAATGATACTGGAGTTCCCAATTAGAGATCGAAGAATGAGTTGGTACTGGATAAATAATTAGTCCACTGAATTTAATTGTTCAACATTTTATGATGAATTCTCATTCAAGTAGCTAGCTGGCTAGAAGAAGAAGAAAATAAATTCATGTAGGTTCCAACCCACTCTATTAGAATCAACGATGACGAAGACTTGGACACAAGTATTCAACAGTGTCCAACCCCCACCACCCATTCCAGAAGGACTCACCCACCATGTATTTCATGCCCTTTAGGCTTCAAACAACCCTAGTTGTCAAGCACCATACACATGCAATGTTCCTCAGCTATTTTGATATCTTCTTGGCATTTACACACATTGAACATGATGTAATGGATGAAGTTAACAACGGCTTTGTATTTGTATTATTATATGGTTAGTTGAAGAAGGTGACATATGATCCTTAGAAGAAGAATTAATAGGTAGAAGTAGAGACGTGGAAGGTGGTGGTCCTCAATTTCTCCTCCAACGCATGCATCTTTCATGAAAACGACCCAAAACACCCCACATGATTTGATGATGATGTTGTACGTGGTCTTCAATTTTAATCCAATGCAAGATTACAACTGATAACTAAGCCCATATTTGATTTTATATATTTTACCAATAATTAAAGTTAATTTTTATCCAAAAACATAAGCGTTTCCTAAAATTTAGTCATTTTTGAATTATATTATAAATAATGAATATGCTGTAATTGCATAGAACACATACATAATACGCTCAAATTTGAATCTCAAAACGAATCAATTATTTGATTGTTTATTGCGTTTTATCTCAAAATTGATGTACTAGCTTTGAAATTTTAATTAAATAATAAAAATTGGAAGGGTTTATTTCTTTTTCTAGAATATTATTTACACCCAGAACAACACGATTTTCATGCAACACATAGGGAGCCTTAAATTATGGGAGAATCCTATTTTCAAAAAAAAAAAAAATTCATTTTTTATTTAACCAAACTCTGAAAAGAATTTAAAATTATTCATTTTTTTTTTTCTTTATATAGATATCCCAATTGTCATTTTCAGGTTTGCTAGCTATATATATATCCCAATTGTCATTTTGAGGTTTAAATTTGTTTAAAAATTTTTAGAATATATTATATTTCAGACTAATGAAGCAAAAAAAGAAAATACAATCACTTCTTAAGATTTGTGGCAAATGTAATTGTATCTGTTTATTATATATTTTTTCTTGATAATCGAGGTGAGGATTAAGTTTTTTTCTAATTAGATCAATCCCATAGGAATTGTAAGCTTATTTATTTGACAGATATAAAGATACATTTTATCAATTTCACGATTAATATTTCATATTTGTACAATTTGTGAATGTTTAAAGAATACTAATGTTAACGTTCTACATGTATTTGATTAATTTTTACGTGCAATAACGTGGCACATGATTTAGATGTTCATCAAACACACTAATAGCAAGGTTGACATTCATGTTGATTTCTAATTTCAAAAAAAAAAAAAAAAAAAAAAAAAAAAACAAACAAAGAGGTTGACTTTGAAAAAGAGAGGTGTGATTAGTTGGAGTAAGTCAAAGAATGACGTGTAGTGCACTCCACTAACAACCTGAGATCAAAACCTTGCTTCAATTATACATACTCCATTAATATTGTGAATAATAATTACTCCGTATTATTTAAAAAAAAAAAAAAGGATTTGGAGTTTAAGAAATTAAAAGAACCAAGTGTTGCCACGTAGCCCTTTGAGCACGTGGAATGCAGCATGCCCGCAACGCTATCTCCCGCCAGTTATGCATTCATTAATCAAATCTTCCTTCCTAAACATGCACTCTATTGTTGATCCCAATGTGGAAAGTACGTTGTATCTCAGTCTGCTTACCGACACTGCTTTCCTCCCAATTTACCAAATTGCCCATCTATTCTACTTCAGTTTCTCTCACTAATTAAGAACTACTAATAAAAACGAAAGGAAATTGAAGAATAATTTTTCTCACCCTTTGTTATAAGGAATTTTAAGATACTAAGGGTGATATGAGCCAAATAAGGGTTGACACTGGATTTTTGTTATTTGCATTGTGTACTTGTAAATTTTCTAAAATTTTAAAAACATTCCCACTGAAACTATAAAAAAGAAAACAAAATCTTAATCTGTTCATGTTATATCATGTTAGTTTATGCAAATTGTATTAAGTATTACTCCGTAGATTGGAACCAGTTCCATTTTTGAGGAAGTACGTTATATCAAACTCGGAAATAGCTGAGAAATCTACTTGGGATTCGAATTCAGATCTTACAGTACCCAATTCGACCCATTGAACACACAAGTTCCGAGAGGATATGTTGGTCATTTAAACCAAACAATAGTGAGAAACAGTAATGACAACGAGGAGGCTTTGACTAATAGCCCCATCAATCAGTCTCCCACGTATCCAATGAATAAATGCCACGTGGTACAAAAAAGACACGTTTAATCCGCCTATGATACAGTAGAGTGTATATCACTGGCACATCACATTCACGCTCTTACTTGGTCCAAACGGCTCGCAAACCGCCCACGTCCACACATGCCATCCCTGCACCAACTCTCACACCCTACCCCTCCCCCTAGGCCCCTACATATATTTCTCTCTCTACAGCACTTTCTCTCACCTCATATCATTCCTCACTTTCTCTCTCTAGAAATACACACTTTTGTGATATTATTATGTTCACGAGCACGAGTGATCAAATGTTGCAGTGCCCTCCAAGAGCGCCATTGGTGATGATGGAGAGAAGATGGAAGTCAAGCGTTGAAGTAGCACCCAATTGTCCCAGGTGTGCCTCTCCCAACACAAAGTTTTGTTACTACAACAATTACAGCTTGTCACAGCCTAGGTACTTCTGCAAAGGCTGTAGGAGGTACTGGACTAAAGGTGGGTCCCTCCGAAACGTCCCGGTAGGCGGCGGTTGTCGGAAAAGCAGACGATCGAGGTCCGTACGGGCCCCGGTGTCGGACACTAGGTACGGTTGCAGTACGCCTAGCACCGGCAGCATTTCAACCAATGACGTGCCACCAAGTGGACATGTGGGGACCGATATCGATTTGGCCGCGGTTTTCGCCAACTACTTGAATCAAAACAATGAAGTGGTTGAAACCAATTTGCCAAATGATTCCCGGCTAGAAGATGTGCTGATCGAGTGCCATGAGCCGTCTGATCCTACCAAAAAAGCCCAGTTGCTCGAAGACATTACTCATGTGTTTGTAGGTGATAGTCGACGTGATGATAAAGTTGAAGAGCTTACCAGAAATGAAATTGATGCTTTTGGATTATTTACCGATGAAGTTGAACAAGATATTCTATGGTCCGACGATGCTGCAACGGCTTTTTCTAGCTTTGCATTGCAAGAGTTTGGATCACTTTCATCCGATGATCACTCCAAGTATTCTGCAACTTTAGTGGATGATTACTGGAATTCATTTGATCTGTCTGCGTACGAGGTTTTTCCAAGACCATGAACAACCCTAATTCATTGAGGGGTTTATTTTTTTATTTTTATTTTTATTTATTTAATTTTTTTTTTTGAGAGATTGCAAATTATTATACTATATTTCAATGGAATTGAAATAAAACCACATTAGTGGGATTAATTTTACTGTGTTCCTTGTATATTGGAAAAAACAAGTGTGAATCGACGTGACATGATGATTTAGAGGGGACGTGTATTAGCTTTCAATTCAATAATTCACTTCAAAAATTAGTTATAGTCCGTCTTTCTTTCTTTCTTTTTCTTGGACGGAATGCGGCTTAGGGAGAGGCCTCCACAACACTGTGATCCCACGCCCACCTTGTGTCAATCATAGTCCAAATTCGTCATAAAAATGATTTTTTTTTCAAAATAATAAAAGTCAAAATAAAATAAATGCATTTTTTTATTAATAATTTAAAAATATTTCCCAATTTAATAATATATATTTAAACATGAAAATATAGTAACTAATTAAAGAGAACATTGCATTAATTACTTTTCACTTAAAAAGTTATAATACTAAAAAAATGTTATTACATGGAGCATTGTTAATGTATTACTCTGTACTATAATTTTGGTAAGCTAATATCAAATCATGAATGTCGAATAAATTCTAAAACTAGTGAGATAAAACTATTTCATGGTTCAAATGAGTCAAATGTGAGATAGAGTTGACTTGTGGAAAGAATATGCTATCCGTGTAGAAGTCTCGAGTTTGAAACTTTCTTTGAAGCATAATCCGTAATGCTTAATTGCTATTAATGTTGTTTCACCCAAATCATTGAAGCAAAAAGGTTAGACTATTTTGAAATTTTTATTTATTGTATTGTCTTTCGGAATACCAATCCATTCTGAACTTTATTTGCTAAGTATGTCATTCAGCATCATATGATAATTGTCCTTTCATGAATTCAGTTTTAAATACATAGTCTGGATAAATTCAGTTTTAAAAGTTCTTTATACAAGTGTTTGGGATAAAGCTTTATGTAATGTTCATCTTAGTGAACTGACTTCAAAATTTTCCCTCTGAACTGTTAGTTTCTTCTCTTCTTTGTGAACTGGCATTTATCTTTTTCAATTTTTTTTTTTTCTTTTTAATTCTTGCCACAATTTTGTTCAATGAATTTCCTTCTGTCAGAAGATATAAATACTCTGACATTGTGTAAGTAGAAATTTATTGGACTTTCATCTTTGGCTGTTGTCATGACCCGAATCCTTCAACTTTCATCTTTGCTTGTTGTCACGACCCGAATCCAAGGAAGCCCAATCACGAGCAAACCGGACTCTTACTTTTTTTTTTCGGTAAATAAGGGCAATAACATGAACGAAAGAGGATTTACAAATGCAAATGGGGCATACCCCAAGCCCTACATGATAGGCCCAAAGCCACAAGGCTACAACAGAAAATGATCCAAAAAAGCCCAAGAGGGCATAAACAGCAATGAAGAAAACAAAGAAGTTAATGAACAACCAATTTGTCCAAACATGCCCTTAAGAGAATAACGAACCTTAGCCAGTGTCTAACTGAATCAGATGCAAGGCATGATTATCAACAATACACAAGCTTCAACCTAATCATGGTGGATGGTAAGTGGATGGGGTAGAGGTGGTTCCGGCGGTGGGATTAGTGTCAGTGGGTGGCTGTGGCAGAAGGTTTGGAGGGTTGGTTGTCATTGGGAAGGACCAGAAGGGGTTGGAGTTCAGCATAAGGGCAATCACATTTTTTGATTGAGAACAACTTGAGCCTCAGCATAAGGGCAATCACATTATTCAAGGTAATTAATATATCCCATAAGGTTCGAGTGGCTATGCTAATGGTTTTCCACAAATAGGTAATCTCCGCTTAGGAGATTTCATGACCCTGCCTCACTTGAACAGCTATAAAATTTTTTGTTGATGGAGTTTTTGAATGGAACTGGTACCATTGTAAAGCTGACTTTAAGCCCTTCAATTTAAGAATAAATTTGATCAAATTTTAATTTAAAATAAATAAGATATAGCCGTTTGAAGACTGCACGCCAGACTAGGAGCTTAGTCAGAGATTGGGTTTCGAATTAGTTGTTCTACAAAGTGATGATTTGAAAATTTAACAGGAGGGATCCTCAAAAGCAATGAAAGTGACAAAAATAGAGTTTAAACAGTAACAAATTTAGTGACAAGAAAGATAGATTTAATGGCTACAAGAAAGATTTTTGATCCACTTCTATATTTCTTTATTGTTGGGCCTTCTCCTCCTGCTGCCTAAATCCTTGGTCTGCTAGATAGAAAATGAGAGTGAAGAAAGAAAAATCAAGTTTCTATCAAATATTTGATTAAGATGAATATTTTTTTAACTAAATTATGAGAAAATATTATTTTGTTAATTTGGGTAAGATGAAAGTGAAAAGAAAATAATTCTATTTATCAAAACAATCCTATTGAAAGTTAAAAAATAAATATTATGCAATAGATGATAAAAAATAAAATAAAATAAGGTAACCAATTTTTGAAAATTGGATTAAACAAAATTAGTGTTGAGAGACTCAACTAAATATCAACATTTTTTTCTTTTATTTTTCAACCTCTCAATTAGATATTATTATTTTATTTTATTTTTGTTTATTAATCAGTAATTATGACTATCCAGGTTGAAGGGTTAGTTGGTTTAAAAAAATAAAAAAAAAAGGTTGTTTCAAAAAACATACTCGCTGACAACTCACACAGGAGATAGTGGGTTACCAAAAACAAATACAAACAAATTAATTGCATAATAAAAGAAAGTTAAATAAAAAGAGATGCCCGTAAAAAGTTTTGGGAAAAAAATAGGTAGGTGGGGAAACCAAATTTTTTCTTTTCTTTCTTTATCCTTTTATTCAAATTCCAAATAATTTAAAAAATTTCTCTTTCTTTTCTTTTCTACTTAATTTCATTTTTTTATTTTTTCCTCGGAATATACCGGCCTATAATACTTGCATATTTTGGACCTACTTGAAAAGGCCCAATAGTTGGAGAAGGATTTTCAGTTTGGAGAACTACGACTGGGTCATCTTGTTGGGCTGCAGTTGAGATCTCCATGGGCTTTTTACCTTTTTGAGGATCACCTATAGCATCCTGGCGTGGTTCTTCCTGGGCCTTTTGAAGTGATATTGCTTTTCTTTAAATTGGACTTTTAACTCTTCCTGTGATGACGTAGGCGATAAGGTCATTGTAATCGTGAAATATCTTTGACTAGAGAGCTGTCATTATAATCACCCTTCTAAGTGCATGTCCTGTCTTGCCCCCATTTTTTTTTTAAGAGTAGTTCAAGCCATATAATTTTTTTGGACCCATGGTGTGATGGGAAACATCTTGGTGACATTTTTAATCATAGAACGTTGAACTTTTTCAGTAGAAATTAAAACCTTTTATTGAACGATTTGATAATTGATGGTCAGTGGGATGATGAGTTGTTATCTAACACAATTCAAGACATGATTCAGGTATTTCATAATCATAGAATTTTGGGTGGAGTAGATCAAATGCGATGGAAGACTCCTTTCAGTTTTAAAGCAGCGTGGGAAGCTTGTAGAACTCCAGGTCAAGAGGTTTGCTGGGCAGGTTTGTATTGGAGTAGAGGTAGGCCGAGATGGACAACTCATGTTGTGCTTGTTATGCAGAGAGCTATTCTCACGCACTGCTATCTTAATTATAAAGGATTCTCTCGTTTCTAGATGTTATTTGTGTTATAATAATGTTGAAACATTGAATCACTTGTTTTGTAGTTGTAATTATACTTGGGAGGTGTGGTCCAGCATCTCTGGAATTTTGGGTTGGGATCTTCAGAAGGTGAATATAGTACATGATCTGGTTGATGTGTTCCATCAGAGATTCACTGGAAAGAAGAACAAATTGGCCTGTATTGTTTTCACAGCTATGCCATATTTTATTTGGAAAGAAAGAAATGAAATGATGCATAATGATATATGTCGAGTTCCTTTAATTTAGCTAAATGTATTACGTGGGAGGTTCTTGATGTCATGGGGATTACACTCTAAGATATTTTGTAATCTTATTTGGTTAACTTTATGTTTTTTTTAGCCTGTTTTTCTTGAAACAGGTTTAGGTTTTGAATAGTAAGAGATACCCTTATTATTTCTCCATGTACTATATTATTTATATTTTTTATAAAATCCTTCATTTAAGAAAATAAAATAAAAAAAAGGCCATATAATTTTCTTTCGAAATTTAGAGAATTACATTAAATGTATAAAATTGCGCAGTTGTCCAAATCCCTTGTAATAATGCCATAGGATATAATACAAAAAGAACACGTCAAATCATCTAGCCTTCTGAAGTCATATTGTACCACATTGTCAAATTTCATTTCTCAAAGCACTTGATCTCATCAATGGCAGAACGAAGACAACATCATGTTTGAATTAACCATTAGTTTCATTTTGTTTGTTTTTTTTTCGTTTTTGAGTAAAATTATCCATTAATTGTTTTATGTAGAATTTCTTCCCAAAGCTCATCTCTCTCTCTCACACACACACATATATGCAACACCCAGCCATTAGTTGTTATCTTCCAAACTTTTCCTTTGAACTCTTGAACTTGAGCAAATGACAGAATAATCAGAAGACACCATATTTGAGGAGAGAGAAGAACTCTTGGTTTCTCCCACAGGTGGAATCCCAACTCTTAAGAAGTGCCCATTTTCTACAACCCACTGTCACTCATGTTGATGGACCAACTTTGAAGCCCCTTCCACTTTCCTAGGCGTCTGAAGGTGGCCTTCAACGGATGCAGAGACCCCCAAAGGAAGTGGAAATCTTGGGTTGATCACATGCATTCTCTACACAAATCTATATGGAAAAAAGTCAGAATTTGTGAATCTATTATCAGCTCTACATACCCAACTCGAGTAAACAATGATTTGGTATTTGGGATTGAAGAGAGGTGGTGTTCTCAAACCAATACATTTCTATTCCCTTGGGGTGAAGAAACAATTATATTGGAAGACATGATGGTTTTGGGGTGGGTTCTCTGTTCTTGGTGCCTCTGTTTCACTGCCTCTTTAAGCTCAAGAATTGTTAGAAATTGAAGATAATTTGGACCAAGCGCGAAAAGGACTTGTAAGGTCAAAAGCACAAAAAGCACATCATAGT